TTTTGTTGTTGTTGTTTTGTTTGTTGTTTGTTTGTTTTATTTTATTCTGTTGCAGTCTCTTTACAGAAAATGCTCCAGGTACCTGACTTCCAAATGCCACCTGAGTCAGCATGTTTCCATGTTCCCCAGTGCAGACGGTGGCTCTTTGGCTTTTTTCCCTAGTAGGTTTGGCTTTTCCCTGGATCCCCTCCTCAGACTGATGACAGGCCAGCAGCAGCAGCTGTGTGTATTCACCAGGCTGTTCACAGCCTGTGTTCTCCACTCAGACTCCCTAAGTATTACATTTCCCCATCATCATCACCAGATTTGGAGAGACAATTTGCAATTCTTAGATGGAGGAATTAGTTTTAAAAAAGCTTTTCCAACGTTAAAAAATTGGAAACACCATTATGATGGAAGGAGATATGTCTCTGTGTGATCACATGATGGGTGTGTAAAAAGAGAACAAATAAAAGAGGGGATAATTAACTCAGATGGGATCCACACAATGCCAATTTTTAACATTATTGGATTGATCATTCTTTTTTTATCCCTAAAATGTTGGCTGATATGAGAGCCAATTTGCTTGACATGAGTGCCAAGATACAGGTCTTAGAAAGAGTTAATAAAGAAAAAAATTCCATTTTGACTGATAAGTTACAAGCTTTAAGAGATATTCAGACAAAGACAGAGGAATTTAAAGCATACCCAACATCAGTATTACATTATAATATTAGAGAGGAACAGCCCAAGGCTTTCAAACAACCAACCTTTATTTATCCAGTCACCTGACAGCAACAACTGCCAAATGACAGATATCCTCCAGGCTGTGGAAAAGCTGATTGGATTAGTGTGGGAATGATTTTTTTGAGGAGATTTAAGGAAGTGATATTCTCATATGTTATGCATTTACCCTTTGTGAGGCAGACATTACATTCATGGTCAACTAGAGACAGAATTGTCCTAGAGAGACTGGGAAGGCTTGTTTGCAGCAGTGTTGGAGCCTGGTCCTCAATTTCAGTGGAAAACCTGGTGAAAAGAGAAAAGATGAAGCTAGGACCATTGAACAATGAAGGAGGGATAGAGGTACTGAAACTTCCTAAGACCTATTCATTGGAGAGGGAGATTACCATGGTGTGTGTGTGTGTGTGTGTGTGTGTGTGTGTGTGTGTGTGTTGTGCACATGAGAACCTGTGTGTGCTTTTGAATTTTGTTATTTTATAATAGATTGTGTACATGTCATTTTATTCACCAGATTGATTTCTAAAGGGAGGGGGGCATGAAGACCTGAAAGTTGGAATGCTGGGGAGTTGTGAGAATTGTGATCAGAACATATATATATATAGCCACAGAGAAGCCCTTTCTCATAAATGTTATTTTCAGTGATATAATGTTTTCAGGCACATGTGCCCTCCTGTGTCTCATGATACAGTTTCAAATAAGCAGAGGCTAGTTGGCTCTCAACAGAGTCTTGACACTAGTTTGCCTATGAAGGTATCTGTGTTGGCAGGGAAGAATTGTCATACGAGTAGTACACATCTGGGAAATGTTTGGTTGGTGACTTTTCACCCTTTATAGCCTGAACAAGTTCTTTTGGACATAGGAACATCCAGTCATCATAGAGGAAGTTTACAAATTATTTACAACTTGAGTTACTTGTGTCTTATATCCAGAGTGTATAACCTGTTAAGCACTAAGGGCTTATCATCTTGATCTGGGAAATAACAAAATCAAAGTATGTATTGTTTTAGGAGCTCTGGACCTATTATTAAATCAAACCAAACTAAACCAAACCAAACCAAAACAAAAACAATGGCTTCTGTTTTCCTCTGCATTCAGGTGAGATTTCTAGCCAAGTGTTGTTACAATACCAATATTCCTATAAGATGAACACTGTGTTCAGTAGTTTAAATCAGTTTTAGATTTAATCTTTAAACCAGGTTTAAATTTGGTGAAAGATTAAATTTTTAAATCATGTTTAAATTTAACCACAGATTTAATAACAGATTAAAAGCCAGATTTATGTTTACCATAAAATTATGGCCAAATGCCATGACATATTCTTCATAGTTTGTGATCTTAGTTTCGAGTGACACATTAGTATGTGTTAACAGTGAAACATAATACAATATAATATAATATAATATAATAATAAAAACAAAAACCATCACAACTAAGTTGTATATATATATATATATATATATATATATATATATATATATATTTTCCTAATATATTGATAATATGTACATTCCTTATATAATTACAAGCTTCTCAGTCCACATAATGTTACTTGTAAATATGATCAGGGCTTTTGTATTGCTGTACTCTCCTCTCTAGAAGACCATTTCTCAGACACACAGTTCCTTAGTTGTCTGTGTCCTTTGAATAAGGTTGAGAGGAGGTGAGCTGTCTTCCTTCCAGCAGGCTTTGTTTCCACAAAGTTCACTCACTGCATTATTCACAGTTTCTACCATGATCCCGAGTATCTGAGGAGAGGAAGGAGAGGACACTGTGGTTGGTGAGTAAAATAAAAGAAAGAATTTAATAACAATATTAAAAGAAGAAATGGAGCTCCCAACCTCAGGGGGCAGCTACACTTAGGGCTGAAGCTGACTCAGGCAGTGCTCAGTGCATCAGGGAAGAAGTCAACACAGTGAAGGAAAATTGCTCCAGAGCATGGAACAGAGCAATGCCCACTGTCCATTATAAGCCAGGACTCAAAGAATTGGTGTGAAATGTACCCTAAAATGCATCATTAAGCAATTCTGGAATGTAAATTCCCCGTGTGTAGTCTGACTTTTTACTCTTCCACAGTCACCTCCCATTCTCACCTCAGCCTCTGGGAATCAGAACAATGCTGTCCATGCCAGGATTTCCACCTTTTCATTCTCCATGTGTCTCAGGTCAGGCAGTGTTTGTCTTCCTGTCCCTGTATTATCTCACTTGCTGTAACTCACTCAGGTCCATTCAGTTTCACACACAGGACAGAGTTTTCCTCATCTCAAGACCACATCACAGTATTCTCACATTTTCTCTCTGCCACCCTTTCTTTGTCAATGACTTATTCCTCAAATAAAATGATCAATTTCAAATTAAGTCATTTTATTGCTTCTATAGTTATTTTATGTATCTATGACATATTTTGATGATAGTTATCAGTCAATCATCCCATTAACTCCTCAATTCCCCCACCCCACAAACCACTGTCAGCTTCATAGTGAAGTCCTTTTCTTATCTTGACTCCTAGGAATGACCCTGCAATAGTTGCAGATGTTGGTGTAGACTTCTCATGAAACACATGTTTCTATCTCTCATATGTAGCCTATTGGTTGACTGGGAGAACTTATGGTGAAGCTGTGTTTTGTTTGGTGAAGAGTGCACACCAGTCTCACCACACTCATGTGCAGACAACCCAAAGAAATGCCTTTGTGTGTATCCGTCATTATTATCTCTTGTTTCCGACAAGTTATACTAAGATACCTGATGGGCATGCCCATGTGCATTTAACCTGTGGATCAATAATAATTCAAAACTGGAAATTCTTTAGACATCTATGAACATAGATAAGTATTGTTTAGATAAATGCCTATCAAGTATTTTTTAAATATTTAATTGATTTTTTCTCATTTTTTGACGGAGTTATGTGCATATGTGTATATGGGCTCATGATCATATTCATACTGAGTGAATATTTTCAAATTTCCAATGTGAAGTGGTCATCTCAGAAATCATGTACAAAAAACACTGAAAAAAACTGAGCATGTTGTCCTATATATTTATCTCTCTCATTTTCTCTCTCTTTCTCTCTCTCTCTCTGATTCTCTCTCTCTCTGATTCTCTCTCTCTCTCCAACTCTCTCTCTCTCTCTCTCTCTCTCTCTCCTCTCTCTCTCTCTCTCTCTGTGTGTGTGTGTGTGTGTGTGTGTAAATAACTCATACAGAGGAGGAGGCTAGGAATTTGGTAGTGAGAGTTTGGGTATGCATGGTGTAATTCTGTATGTCTTTATTTTTCTTTCTTGATTTTTAATATGTCTAGTATTTATTTATAGGGAATAGTGATGGTGTATCTCACTATCTTGCCGTCTTAATTGATGAGTAAGTTTCCAATTTTCTAATTTGGGTGACTTTTATATTGTTTTTGTGATTAATGTTCTGGCTATTATCAAGTACTATCTTGACTAAGGTGGTTCAAATTAGGACAATTTTCTTTTACTTACATAAGTACCAACCATTCAACTCCACAACAATTCTTTACCACTGTAGAAAGCAAACAAATAGACAAAAGAAAGTGATTTAAAGAAGGAAACTCAGGAGAAACACACCTACAGCATGCTTAAAAAGAAAACTTTAACATCCAAGTTTTTTGGAGCGTTTGAGTTTATCAAGAGTCCATTTGGGGTCCTCTTGCCTGTGTCTCAGACACATTAACATAGATCCCTTACTAAGTGCCTACACTGATAACAAGGGTTGTTCTACTCAATAGGTTGAAATTCATGCCCCATTCTGCAAAATGTCTAAGGTGTGGCCAGCTAATATTAGAGGTGTCCCATGGGTCCTGCGGGTATCTGATGAAGGTTGAACTCTCCAATATCCTCTGCTAAATCCTGGTGGACCAGGATGGACTCAATGCCCTCAATGCAAGTTCCCTGAGTCACAAACACATTTCACACTGAGGATGGTCAGCTGACTCATGGACCATTCAGTTGGCTCAGGTTGAGGAACATGACAGTGGAGACTACAGTCTCAGTGGGAAGGAGTCTGTCTGTGAAGAGCTTAGGGATGAGTTATGGGATGGATTCAATAAGAGTGTGTTAGGACTGGTCAATCAGTGTCCTGCTGTCTGACTTGGAGGCTTCTGCCTTCTTCTCAGGCTGGATCAGGTCTCGATAATAGCAGCTAACTGTCTCATGATTATGCAAATGACCTGAATTCGTGATGCTAAATACTGAGATGTCCATAGACCACAGCAACAGGTGACTAACCTCATCTCCACAGTCCCTGAGTGCATACATCCTGACCATGGGCTGGAGCTGGAACTTGTTTTTCCTGGTAGCAGCAGCTACAGGTAAGAGGCTCTCCAGTTCCAGGCCTGAGGACAGTAGAGGCTCAGGTGACAGTAGCATCCAGGTTTCCTTCTCTCCACAGGTGTCCAATGCGAGATCCAATTGCAGCAGTCTGGGTCTCAGCTGGTGAGGCCTGGGTCCTCAGTGAAGGTGTCCTGCAAGGTTTCAGGCTACAACATCATCGAGTACTATATGAATTGGCTGAAGCAGAAGCCTGGACAGGGGCTGGAGTGGATGGGACGTCTCAACCCTAGAACTGGTAGCACAGACTATGCACAGAAGTTCCAAGGACGGGTCTCCACGACCAGTGAAACATCCTCCAGCACAGCCTACATGGAGCTCAGCAGCCTGACATCTGAGAACTCTGCAGTCTATTACTGTACGAGAGACTCAGTGTTGCAACCACATCCTGAGTGTGTCAGAAAACCTGGAGGAGCAGGAAGCAGAGACTGAGATGACACAGAAGAGCAGCCTGGAGACTTACAAAGAAATAATGAACCTGACTGTCCTGTTTCAGCTTCCTCCTAACAGTCCTATGAGGGGTTTGTCAGTTTTTCCAAATGACATCTGAGGATGAAGAGGTGCTGATTGAGTGTGCCCTGCGGTATATCACAACTTGATGAGATCTTTATCAGTGACCACCTCCATTGATATGCGTCTTCTTTAATGAAACCAAATATAAGAAGCTGTGACAATACATTATGCTGTGTGTGTGTGTGTGTGTGTGTGTGTGTGTGTGTGTGTGTGATGTAAATTAAAGAGATTAGAACTGTTGATAAAGTAGCTGGGAATACACTATAATAAGAATTTGACTAGGAAAATAGATCAGCAATATCAGAACAAACATAAACACATGCCAAAATTCAGTTTGATCTATTTAACAGCACACTAAATACTTTAGTAGAAGTTGTTACCAAAGATTTTTTGTGGGGAGTCACTTTACCTTTCCTCATAATTTCAATTCTATGTAATCATTTATAGGTGAGTCTAATCCTGGATTGCTTTTGTTAGTTGTAATCACATTTTTTTTATCAATATAGAGATGAAAATGACCCGAATATCACACTGTGGAGTCCTCTGGTATAGAGTCTGTCACTCTCTCAGCATTCTGGGCTCCTGCTCACATAACACTGGGCCAGAGCAGGGGGATCCTGACCTGATGATGGGAGAGGCACTGATGTCCTCAGGAGCCCTGGGTGGTCATTGCCTGTTTCCTGAAATTGGATTGTCTCTGCAACACGTTAAGATTGACACTGACTGACAATGACTGGACGTCAGTGTATGGCACAGGATAACCCCAGCACCTCCATACAACACACACACACACACACACACACACACACACACACACCAACATAAAGAGACATATAGAGAGAGAGACTGAGGTAAGAGAGGGAGAAAGAGAGACTGAGAGAGATTTTTGTTTTTAGAGATGTGAAGGGCCACTTATAACTCCTCTTGATTTATGACTCTAACTTTCACATACCTGTGTCTGATGAATTCTGTATATCTGTGCTTTTTTGTTTTTCTTCTGTTTTCATTAGGAGAACACACATACCTTGGCTCTACAAAGGCTGAAAGACAGGAACAAATAATTCTGCCATTGATAGCATGATTACAGGGTATTTTAATTTACAGAAAGTTCCTGTCCTTCAAGTCCAGTGTCCCCTCAATGTCCTGTGTGCAACATAAAGTTTCAGCAACATCATGAAATCTCTTCCTCAGATATAAACCACAGAGTCAGGATAGAAAGGGAAGAGGGGTTCTGTTATCTGTGAATTCCAGGGAACCATCCACAGAAAGATCAAAAGTGGTAAGAATGTTGGGTTGTTTTATATTTGAACTGGATGGACCCATGCAAGTTGAATATGCTGACTTCAGTGGGGACACACTGGATCTCAAGGAGAGGTAACAGTGCAAAGTATCCAAAATTAACAATAATAAAAGTGAAATACAAGAAGATACAACAATCTGCTTATGTCACATCCTAATTATGTCTACATCAGCTAAGCCCTAACGTCATCTGAAAAGAGGTGTCCAAGCCTGAACACCTCCTTCCAATCCCAACCTTAAGCAATAGGAAGCTATCCCTAACTAGGTGTTCACTACCCTAATAGACAATAATGGGGTAAGGGGGTAGCATTCTTCAAGTTACTTCCTGCTGAAATGGGACTGCCGAGGCCTCGTGGGGTCCTGTGGGAAGAATATGTTAGAATAGTGAAAGTCTCTAATGGATTATATCAGGTCCATGTTAGATGGTATTTGCTTGACTGAAGATCTAGTTTGAAATCCTCAACTTGATGGAAGTCAGCCCCCGAAGCTCTGGTCGTGGTGTCAGTTGAAATGGAGTAATTTGGATCCAGTGCAGTCTAGGAGGTGTGGCCCATTTTCTTTCCAGGGTGTCCAGGGATTGCTGTCAGGCGGGTCTTCATTGGCTGGGTGGGACTCAAACACAAGTGTTAGCAGATAAATGTTTGCTTGTACGTGTATGCTTACTAGGAAAGGCAACCATGGGAAAATGACGATTATGAGAGGGTGCACATCTTGAAAGAACAAGCCAAGACAAGGAACACTCCCCAAATTCGTCTCTCATTCAGTATTACATGAATTGGCTTCTTGATACAATACAGAAACTCTAAAGTGTAGCTAAACAATGTGCTTGGATTTTAGAGGATGAAAGCCAAATCCAACTCTAAATCCAGCATTGGTTTACTTGAATAGGAACTAGGAAATAAAGAGAAATAGAGTTCCCTGAGAGACAGCTGTGAAGTTTACCGTATGGCACGTTCCTTTTGTTTGATGGTTATAGCTACCTTCTCTTCTTAAGACAAGACATACTAACTTTCAGTGGTGCTCAGGACAAACAGAGGTCACAGTGGAGCCAAAAATCAGCGGGAAAGAAATGAGATGAGGAGACAAGGGGACTACATAGTCTCTGTGGACTCCTTTTAAAAGTCTGTTACCTGAACAAAACTTATACAGGTGGTATGTTGTCCCGCGCATGCTCTGTATTTCTCGCCAGCAAGAAATCATACACGGGACACTCGGATCCTTCTGCAGACAAGCTTTAATGCGTCTTGAGAGTGAAAGAGCATAAGCTTCCCAGAGCGGAGACCCCGAGCCAAGAATCCCGTCCCCTAATAAAGGCTGGCAACCGCCGCCTCGGACGTGTCACCCCATGATTGGCTGCAGCTCATCCGGCCATATGACGCCACGGAATAGGCAGAGATCAAGGAATGGAAAATTACCCAGCGCCTGCGCAATAATCTTGTTTACATTCGGTGCCTGCTGGATGCAGGCGCCATCTTGTAATGGAGAATGCAGGGACGGCTCCCTACATCTCCCCCTTTTTTATTAATTAATGATAAGGCTTTATATTTTTACAAGCAAATAGGTCACCCAAATGTTGAGGGATAGAGGCAGAGGTTGTACCTTCCCAATCAAATATTAAGACTGTGTACAAGAGTCGCCATCAGGCTGTTAGCTTG